GAATACGGCATTTCGAGGTAAAACTTTGACCAAATCAACGAATCCATGTTTAATACCCAAATGTCGTTTAGCACTTGAACATTATCGATTCCGCCACAGACGTAGGCGAAGTTATTGTGCAACGCAAAACCGTGACAGCGCCTCGGAAAAGGATAGCCTACACACAAGCTGTTACGTAACGCTATCACTAGAGAAAATACAAGCCGTCAATGCATACCGTAAGTAAGATCAGGAGAAGTAGCAACCAAAAGCCAACGGTGCTGCTGAAGGTCGTATACTGGAAGCTCATCTAACCGGAAAACAGTTTCCGCCTGTCCGCCACCAAAAACGTACAGCTGATTTTTGTATACAGCAATCTCGTGCCTGTATCTAAAATGTTACTCTTAACTGTAGCAAAACGTAGGAATCACCAGGTAATCAAGACAATTCCGGCATGCAAAAATTACCACAAGTGACAGAGTGAATTTAGGATGAAGTAACAGGAAATTTCAATCGGCATATGCACCGTCGTGGTTCATGGTTCTACAGGAAAAGTCAATTCAATCTCATGAGCTGATAGGCAAAGAAAAATTTTTTCTTGAAGGGGGTTCCAAAATGTCATCTTCAGTGAGAAGAATAGATTATGTCAGACAGGAACCGAATTCTAGTTATTTCCTTTGAAGTTGTGCGATCATCGTGGAATGAATGAAACAGTCTTGGCCAGCTGCTGATGTCATTCCCTAAATCGTCGACTCGTTTTCCCCTTCATTCTAGCTACTGGCGAAGGTGCAAACCTGTTGCAGTAAAACCACTGAGATGGCAATCAATGTTTCTTATTTGCAATGAAGAAGCACAACGCCAAAGCCCTGACCAATTCATTTCACTCTGTGTCATACGTTATTCATCCCTTAATCTTCGCATGTTTTTTACGAACTGAACTTCGATATTCTTTATCCTGAGTCCAAACTAGAGCTGCAAGAGCCTGAATTTCTGTGTCATCCTTCCCTTTATATTAAATAACTTCCTTCTTAAAACAATTAAGGACTCTTTCTTCATACTTCAAAAATGCCAGAAACGCTCATTCATTCTTTTTCATGTTCCCGATCTAATTCCAAGCAGAAAAGCTTGTATCATATGCACTCTGAGACGCGGTGACAATGGCACTCTTAAATAATCGAGTCAACTTGTCCGCGGTTCGATCCATGGGCGTCTTTCTTGTGAATCTGCCAAGACATTTGTGGTTTTCGAGTTTCTCTTGCGGTATTTTCAACACTTCCAAGCAGTGGTAGCAGTGATCCCTTGACCTGATAGATGTTTTCAGGAAGAAACCTGCACTGCAGTAATTATAGGCAATCTAAGTGCTCTAGCATCTTGAATCTGTAAAGAGATCTCAAGAATCTAAGAAGTAAGGTATACAAACAAAAGATCTCTCTTAAATAGGACAACTGAAAGAAGAATGAGTTGGAATATCGATTTAGCAGAAAAGCATAATTAATCAAGAATGCCTGAATTACGATTAACTGTAATTCGATAATGAACGTGCCAAAAGAAACTTTACTCAGGTGAAGTTAAGCCTTTAATAACTACATAACTATAATCTAATCCTACAATTACAGAATTCCCCTCGCTGTACTCTAGAGGCGCCACTCAGCGTAGCGACAGCAAGGTTAACAGCTAGGGCAGTATGGTTCTGAGTACAGTTATGCTTAGCTGACCAAAGGCAACGTAGTAATGTCCGTTTATTAACTATTATTCTCCAATAGTTGAGTTTGAAGAAAAAACCAAAACCTAAGTAAACTATCAATGAAGTTTTCTCACCTACCGTTACCCGCTTCACTGCTTTCCAACTTGTGCCACGCAAGAGGTGCTTTTCGGAGCGGAAGTGCGAACACATCCATGTTGTAAGCAAAGCCAGTGGTGCCGCCTACCACATAAAGTACATCTCTATGGCGAAGCATCGCGTGGCCGTACTGCTTAGGGGGTTTCGTGCCACCGCACTTTATGATATTCCAACGTAAGGTACGCAGAGACAAAACGTTCAACTCGTCACTGGAACTGTGGCCGAAAGGAACAGCGGTTCCGCCAAAAACCAGTATATAGCTACCATAAAGGACCGCTGTAAAACACATATGTCATTTACATGAAAATGACATACAGTAGGTGCAAAAATTCGAAGTCCAAACTAAACATTTCAAGCGAACTTCAATTCTGCACAGACTGCCCAGAATTCATGTTTCACCTAACGGGAATTACATAACAGGAAGACTGTAAAATACTTCACGAATCAATCATTCTACCTCGGGATAAAACTAGTTTCCTACAAATGTGCATAGAAAAGCAATGATGGGAGTTCTTGGCCTTATCTATATCTTTCACTCAGAGTGTGAGAACCTTCGAAGAGCAATTTTTGAAGTTGTAGCCAACAGTGCTTTTAGAGTCAGTGAAATATACAAGTTCCTCAAACATACCCAAGTCAAAGTAGCACTGTTAAAGACGGTTGCATGAAATTCCGGGATTTAAAAATGAATGAATGGGTGAAAATTGTTCTTGTCTAAACACACAAAATCCTCCGGCGAGTATACAGATCTCCTCCCGTTGGTCATGATAACGTGGTATGTAAATTTATTCTGTGAAGCTTATGGGCGGCTACAATTTCAGTTATTATGCAATCAACCAAGAGTGTCTTACTCTTATCTGCTAAGGCTATTGAGCCTAAAATATTGTGATCAAGATTCTGCGTATTCTCTGTTCACTTAAGACGACGTGGTACTCGATTACTATCTCTGAACGATGAAAGGCGATAGACCGCCCAGGTCTCCAACCCAGGACGTTTGAATGCGAGTTTTCGACCCTCTACCGACTGAACAACCTCCATTCTATCACTATACTCCAAACAGCTGCTGATGACGGTTGCACGAATAAATATAATTTTTTATCATTCCCAAAGATAAATCCCTATCAGCTAAATGGAAACTGGATGATATCATGCCTGTTCTATTCGAACTCGAAGAAATTACCCCCTCTCGCCCACCTACCGCCAGACAGGCACAGAAGTTTGATATTCCATCGGCATTTTCTGGATGGACGCGAACTGAAGACCCGTC